GAAAGACGAGTTCCTACTGCAACACAATAAAGCACTTTTCCGCCCAGTTTAACACAGTCGCATAATAGAATCCATTAACTGTTGACCGTATCTAACACTTCACTTTACTACCGAGTTTCTTTTGTATAGACGGAGGACTCGTGCAATTCAAAGTGTGTTGTGAAATATCCGTTGATATAATTTGTCGCCTTTTTTTTTTTTTTTTTTTTTCTTTTTTTTTTTAGCAAGTCTGCTACTTAAATGTTCCAAAATGTCTAACTAAATGCAGTCGCATTGGTTGCGTGGGAAATTTATAACGTCTCGTCGAAATTACTGAGACGGTGGGAATTTTTGGCAATTTATATCATAACATTCTCTGACACAAATTGCAGCTCCAATCTCCTATCCATTAAAAAGGATACGGAAATATGCCTTGGTTTGGCCACAGAAAAGATAAAAAATATATACATATTTTTACAGGGATTTTAGTAAGATTTTTTTTATCAACGAATGTAAAGTTTCTGTTAAAGTATCGTCCACCTGGGTTTTATGAGTTTCTTCTCTCTGCTCATCTCTTCTCACTTTCTTACGTTTTCTCTCTCCTCTGGTCCCTTTGTTACTTCACTGCTTTCCCCGTCCCCCCTTTCGCACTTTAGTTCCATTCTCCCTTCTCACTATATCCATATCTTTCTCTCTTTTTCCCTTTTACCATTCTTTTCTCTTTTTCATTACGTCCCCCATTCTTCTCTTGTTCTTTCTCTCTTCTCCCTCTCTTACTTTTTCACTCTTTCCTCTTCCCCTTCACATCTCCCTATCTGCTCTTACCCCTTTCTGCGTCCCCTCTATCCCCTTCCCTTTTCTTTTCGTCTTTCCCTTCCTTATATTTTCTTCCCCTTCTTTTCCTCTCGACTTCTTCCTTCCCCCTCCCCTTCCTCCCCTCGTCTCCCTTTTATCCCCTTCCTCCCTTCCCTTCATCTTTTTTTTCCCTCCCTTCCCTCCCGTCTTCACCCCCCCCTTCTCTCATCCTCCGCTACAGTCTAACATTATTGGTCCTTCCCATTCACAGGAGATTTACCCACAGCTTTGCCTCCTCGCACTATCTCTCAGAGACACAATGGGCAAGCAAGACGCCCCCAAATTAGACGCGACACGTTTTCTACGTCGAGAGGAGACTATAACGAATGCGTCCTATTTCATACATTTCCCTTGCGTTTTCCTCCACGCAATCCTTTTCTCTTGTCTTTTTTTATTCTTGTTTTTTTTTTCTTTATCAATTTTTTTATTTTAATTCTAATTTTACTTTTGTTTACTTCTTTTCTTTCTTGTTTCTACTTTTTTGTTTTAATTAATTATTATATTTCTTTCCGTTTCATCTACGTTATTGCTATTTATATTTGTCATTTCACATTTGACATTTCACAAAGCAAAACTCCAGTGAACATTTTCTGGGCAGCTGTGGGTTAAGTGTCAGCTGATTAGAATAAATAAAGAGAAGGCAAATCGGAGTCCTCCAGTATCCGGGTTGAGGTGCCAAGTTTTATATTTTTTAAATTTCCTTAATTTTATTATTTTTAAAA